GTTGCATGTTTAAATGCATTCTCAATAAAGTTGAAGAGGATCAGCGGAGCGATCATTCCTTCCTCGTTGCCATGCACATGGTAGTTGACGGGCTGGCTCTCATCCAGCCGCAGCCGCTCAAGGTCGATATAGGTTTTAATAAACGTCAGTTCATTGGATAGCTTCACCTTATCCGCATTCGTTTCATAAAGCAGGTAATGCAGCAGGTTAGACAGCAGCAGGATCGAATCGCCCGCTTTGTCAGACTTTGTAGTGACCAGCGCATAGATATTGTTCAGGGTATTGAAGAGGAAATGAGGATTGAGCTGGGTACGCAGGAATTGAAGCTCCGCGTGTAATTTTTCCATCTGGTATTGCCGCCCCCGTTGCGACTTCAGGTACAGCTCCTTGGCTAGTTTGGCCAGCGTGATCAGGAACAGCTCCAGCGTGAAATTGACAAAGGCAACAATATACATGCCGCCCTTATTGGGGAACGGCTTCGGGTAATGATCAAAGAACCATACAAGGCCGAAGAGGAATAAAACAAACGCCGCCCACTCCAGGAAGAACAGGGCAAAGTACCGCCGGTACCGGTAAGTAGCAAAGTACCGGGGGATAAGATAACAGAAGTTAAAGTAAGTACTGCCGATCAGGGTAAGCATGTACAGGAAGAAATACCAGCCCCATACCGGGCCGCTATCCAGTATGACCGAAGCCATTTTGATGGCAAACAACAGCCAGACGGCTATATGCACATAAGGTCTGAGCTTTTGGTAGGTGATACGGGGCAACATACAGGAAAGATACGCATGCGAAATATAGGAATCAATACAGAAAGCAGCTGTCAGCTTGCTACCAATTACCCGTTTCTGCTACGAAATGCAATCATTGCAAACCCCGCCTTTACATTGCAAACGCCGGATTTGCCGCAAGGGTAGAAAGTGTTTTAGTCGTCTGTAGATACTAAACAGACATCTATGAAAAAACTTTTTTACGCTGTGCTACTAATGCTTCTTACCACAGTTGCAGCAAGGGCGCAAAAAATCGTGGGCGGCCAGGCATCACCTAATGACAAACCTTTTTATGCAC